AAAAACCTCCTATTACCAAGTTTCGTTTAATTAAGTTCAGTATTTCAAAAGTTATTTGAAAAAAACGAAAATAAAAATAAAACTTCAACATCCTGTATCTTGGAAACGAAGCGTTTCCGGACATTCATTTATTTGGACAATTCATATTAGAATATTGTGAGGAATCACCTCCTGATGTTTGTCAAAGTACTTTTGAATCACCCTTTATATTATAGGAACGAACATGATAGATATGTAAATATTTAGAAAGGCATGAAAAAACGTAGTCTCGATTTTAAAGTGTGAGCTCCTTCTCACGATTTTCTGTCCACCTTCATTGAAAATTGTAATCGAGGTGTCATTCGATTTGGATAAGCATATTGGAATTGGTTGAAAAATTTGAAATACCTCATAAAAATTGCGACAGTTTTAAACAAATATTAAAAAGTAAAAAACGTTTTTCTGACAAATATCTCCAAAAGTATTTCCTACAAAAAAGTATCAACTCTCGCAACTCTATCAGTAAGATTTATTATTTGGTGAGAGTAAGGGTGTGAGATTTTTTATGATAATAATAATATTTATTTCTTTGGTTGAAAAGTACAGTTGACAGAAATCAATGCACAATAAACAAAGAAAATGTCAGTTATAAAAGTAAATGTAAAAACATATAAATATAAATAACTACATGTAACCATATTATAAGTCAGTCAAAAATAATATAAACAACACAATAACACAAACAGTGATAAACATCCATAAGTAATGAAAGTAATATATAAATATAAAAATATGAATGTAACTAGTTATAGACTATAAAAAAGCCAATAAAATATAATCAACACACAATTTCTCAAGTATTGAAAGTGCTGAAGCTCTAGATCTCAGGTTAGTTGATTGGTGAATTCTTGAATGGTGTAACATGTTCCTTTGAAGTAGCATTTTTTTCAGCTGACTTTTGAACACTTTAATATTTGGGGAATTCTTAAGAGCTATTGGAAGCATATGGTATAATTTACACCCACTGTACTTTACGCTTTTTTAATACAAAGAAGTTCTATGAGCGTTTGGTACGATTAGATCTTTCGAACGAGTATTGTGGTTATGATTTGGGAAAGAGGACTGAAAATTGGATTTATTTTTGAAAACGTATGCACTAGCCTCTAGTATGTATGTGCTGGCAACTGTAAGAATTTTTAGCTGTTTAAAAGCATCTTTACATGAATCACGATACCCTAGCTTAGCTATTATTCTAACTGCATATTTCTGGAGGAGAAATATTCTTTTAACAGAAGCACTCATATCTCAGTTGAGAATGCCATATCGAAGGTGTGAATGGAAGTTAGCATGGTACAATGTTAAGAGTATACTAGAGCTGCAACGATTCGACATGAATCTAATAGAATAGCAGCTTTTCTTCATTTTATTACATAAAGTATCAATATGTTGATTCCAAATTGATTTTTATCTAGAACAATTCCTAGCATATTTACAGTTTCTACAGGACTAATTGATTTTGCACTATTTTCATATAGTATCACATTTGAATCCCTTTGACCACGTCTGCTGAACAATATGGTGTTAGTTTTAGATTTGTTGAGTTTCAAATTGTTTTTTTCAGCCCACAATATGATTTTATCATATCTATCCTCAGCAGTTTTATGGAGTGCCTCTATGTTGTCTTCAGCAATCAAAATATGTGTATCGTCAGCATAAGATGTAACGAATACCAAGTTTGCTTCACTGATGAACGTAATCAGTTCATTAGCAAATAACAATAAAAAAAAGGGGGCCTAAATTCGAACCCTGGGGAACTCCCTGTTTTATATCACAATCATCGCCTGTACATTGACCAATTCTCACTTTTTGCCTGCTACCTATAAGATAAGATCTCACCAAATCATGCGGTACCCCTCTTACACCTGATCTATGAAGCTTAGATAGTAACAGTTCATGGTTCACACAATCAAAAGCACGTGAGAAATCTATAAAAAGGCCCATTACACATTTTTTCCTGTCAAGAGCATTAACAATTCTCGACTGAAATTCACAAAGGGCTGACTCTGTACTCTTGGATTTAGTGAAACCGTGCTGTGAGGATGACAATATTTTGTTTTGTTCGTAAAACATAGTCAATTGTTGTTTTAGATTCAACTCGAATGGCTTGGAAAGACTTGACAGTAGGCTTATTGCTCTATAATTGTCTAGGTCATTCACGTAACTTTTTTTAAATAATGGGCATACTGTTGCAAGCTTCAAATTTGCTGGAACAATTCCATTTACAGAAGACTGATTTATTAAATATGTCAGGGGATGACATAGTTCAAAACGGCAACTTTTCAGTAAGTTATTAGAGATACAATATGACCAGAAGCATTGGGATTTTTCAGTTGAGAAATGAGCTCTAAGACATCATTGTCACAAACTGAAGATAGGAAAAAACTATTCAAGTTATTTGACATATTTTGTGCAAGGAAACTTAGATCATAGCACCTGTTATCAATCAACGGTTTATTAAAATTCTCATTGAACATACTTGCTAGTTCTTTTTCTCCAATATCATCATCCTTAGGTTTAACAGTTATTGCACGATTTTGTTTAGGTTTTTTTTGAATTTGATTAATGATCTGCCAAGTAGTTTTAGATTTGTTATTAGAATTGAAAATTTGATAATCATGATACTCTTTTTTTTGCACAACTTAATTTTTCTCTGTATAGTTTACTGTAATATTTACTTATTTCTTTGTAGTTGTCATCCTGCTTAGCAATTGAGGTATACAAAATTACATTATTTTTTAATTCTTGCAATTCAGGTGTCATAATATAAATAATACAATAGCATCTCTGAGAAAACATTGTAGGCCAAGTTTAGACAGTCTAGTGCATACATTTCCGACCAATTTTCATTTTTCAAGTAGATTACAGAGATCCCTGCGGAAGTAGTAATTTTTTGTTTTATTACCACTTTCTTTTAAAATGTGATCTTCCATAACTAAAAATTGTGCAAAGTAATCAAATAAATGCAAGTCCTTAACTGTTACTTCAAAGTGCCTATTACATTTAATAAAAAAATTATCAATACATGTCTCGGAGTATGATGTCACTCTTGTTGGAGAGTTGACACAAATTTCGATATTAAAGCAAGCTAACAGATCGAGAAGCTGTGAACTTGTTCTCAAGAAATTCAAATTGAAATAACCTCCAACAATGATATCGACATTCTCACTACACAACATTGTTAGCATACCAGTCAGTAAATCCAAAAACTCCAAAAACACCATTTTGAATAATGAGTGTGAAACAACTGAAAATCATATTCATGTATTTTTTCGTGATCAGAAAAGAGAACAATCGGAATATTTGAAAAAATGTTTGGCAGATCAATTTAAATTTTTAATATTTCTATACTTCAAATTGTTTATAAAAAAAGCAAGAATCAAAATATTCTGATTTTTTGTCAGGGATAATCTCTAAAGCCTTTCAACAGTAGACTGAAGAAATGAAAAACAAATTGATGTTCTTATTTTAAAAAATCTCATGGCTATTGAGTACATTTACGAATTGTAAATATCCCTTATTCAACAAACGTATAACTAACAAACAAATTCCTAGATTTGAAAAAAAAAAGTTATTTGTTCTTCAAAATTTATATTTAATAGGTTTAATATAAGCCAGCGCGGTGCAGCCAAGTGTAAATATGGGCAACATTTGTTTGCCAAAAATAGGAAATAACACATACGCACGGAGCGTGCGAGCTAAGGATTAACGAGGTCTTACCTTTTAACGTGTGATTCCTAACACACGTTAGGTTGATATGGTTAGTTAATAAAGAAACGTAAATTTGGGGAGAATCTTGGTAAATCTTCGACGTTTAAAAAAGACATGGATTAAAAATGATTCGTCCTTCCGTATGAACCAAGATACATTAACGGATTAGTTTTTTTTTTCGCAAAGTTGAACGTAAAATTAGCCTTCAAAACTACTTGTTCACTTTAACAGTCGCTAGGCAACCCCATAAACAAGATGTTGGCAGATGAAAAGTCGGGTATACATGAAATAAGCTGTGAGGACTGCGACAAAAAATAAATCGGCCAGACTAAGCGAGCCATTAAAACTCGTTTCAAAAAACACGCAGCACATATTTGATTTCGAAGACCAGAAA